TAATGAATTACTCGTAATGAGTAGCGTGTGTTTACGCGATGCGCGCACCATCCTGCCGGCCAGGAGCGTCCGCTTGCGTTGCACCGAGCTGATTGCATCGCTGTATCCCTATTTGCTCGCCGGTATAAAGGCGTCCGTTTAGCACTTATCCTGCGGTGCGCACGGTAGCGCGTTACACGCGGCATTATATTCATCAAGTATAGTCACTGTACTTTCATTCGAGAACCGCGTCGCGGTGACGTGGCGAGCTGGGCGCGCGAGGAAAGGAATGCGCGCACCTGAATTCGCCTCGATATTCGAGAGACAAGCGGAGAAACAGCTCTCGCGGATAACATTTGAGAATTACGGTTCGCTGCGAAAGGAGTACGTTCCGATATAGTTCGGGCATTTAAAAATTAAAAATAAAACTCACGCAAATGCACAGGCAGTTATATTAGGTAAAAAAATTATAGAAAACAACGAGATACACGAAATTACGTCGATCACGCCAATTACATTGTTTTGTAAACTTGTTTCTTAAAGAAGAATCGATCGACACGACCGTATCTGTCGATAAGTTAAGTTAGTTGAGGCCTGTTAAGGGGATCGTCGCGAATCGCGCGTGGAGGCCTCTTCAAGGCCGCGAAGACGCCGCGATTCGCGGCGCTTTTTAAAGACGTTGAATGGCGTAACGTCGGCTTCGTGAGCGAAACAATCCGGAGAAACTCGAGTATTGCACGATATATCCTTCCTGTCCAAACGCGTCGACGAAGATGCTCCAACCGTCTTTTGTCGCGCGAAAATGCAACGTCCGCGAACTTAATAAATATAAGTAATCGGGGATTATTTACTCCTTATACTCCTCGCTGGTTCCCGATACAGCGTTTCGCAACACACGCGACGTAATTCGTCTTAATCAGTTTTACCGTGCCAGGCAAATTTTCTTTCGACGCTCGAGAAAAGCGTTCGACTTTTATCACGATCAGATAGCGACACGCTGAGCGAGTTTTACATAAGAGGATAGATGTAGAAAGCAGAAACGTTTCGGCCAATATACTTAGTAGCCGATATATCACACTGATCGTATTCAGCAGAGACAAGTTGTGCAAAAGTCGCGTCAAAGTAGTGCTTGTACGTTGAGAATAATATACCGCTCCAATACCTAATACATTTCGATGTATTAATGAGTTATTCTAGCGAAACAAAATTTCGCACTGCTACCGACGTAATTGACAAGCATTGCATCTCTAGATAGAAAATCATAAAAGAGAGAAAGGAGGCTTGATCAAGTCTCAATGCTTCATATATCAGTTTTATTAAGTATTGAGTTCGGCTTCTGTTTATCTCTGACTCTACAAACTTTCAGTATATTGGTAATTGGTGATTTTAACCTGAGCGCCCCGCGAAAGCGAAGAATATATTTAAACTACGTTTGTTAACTTAAAAAACCTTTCAAAATTATAAATAGAAAGGATATGTCGTCATTACTTGCCGATGTAAATATGACTGGCAAAGAATCTATAAAATAACTTTGGAATTAAATAGAGGGAATAACTGTACTAAAAATGCCCGATATAAATAGTGAAGTATATAAGAATCTGTTGCTCAACATTTAGAAAAATAATTTATAAACGAGAGGCTCCGTCGATTATGGGCTGCTCGATGTTGGCGAATACGCGAAATCGCATTAGCCGATTGAACAATCCGTTTCGCCGTCCGGCGTGACGGATTAATGCAAGAGATTCTTAGATGCATCCGGAAATAGGATAAATCACATCAATTGTCATTCAAATCGGAGCGGTGTCCGCGCAAGCCTGTATATCGGTCCCTTCAAATAATTGACGGCACAACGGCGGCGGGATTATTCAGATTCGCCAAGGAATTGTGTAATAAGTCGCGCAGAGTCGGAAAAACGATCGCGACACGATCTCGACTGGTGGAGTTAGCCAGCCGGCGAATAAAAATTCAAATGAAAGTTGCCGTACGCAACTTATAACGTGGCTCGTTAGCGAAAAATCTCGCTGCTCGCGTACGAGGTGAACCGGCCTCCCTCGGTCTTTTAACGCAAATTCACAACCAAGCCGATAACGCCTCGACAATTTACACCGATGCCGATATAAGCGGCGTCGATAACAATTTGTCCGGCGCCGGGAATGAGGACGAGAACGACAGGCTTTAGTGAAAGCTATCCTCTGTCCATTTCCGCGAGCGCGCGCAAATATTTTGCATAATCACCTCTAGTTGCTGCAATAATTATCACGCTTCCCTCCGCGATTAAAACCGCGATACAATCGGCTACGACGTTGCGTTAAAATGTCACGAAGTGAAAATATGTTGCAAATGCTCGCGCGTTGACATCGCAGGAGTGATGTTGCAGCGGAATTGTGTCAGAAATGTAGAAAACGTACACAGCGTAGATCGATCTCCGACAAAATGCCACGGGATTCTGGCTCTTAATTTGATAATATAACTGTCTTCGCGGAGCACCACGGCGGGTTTTCCTTTCTATGTCAAAGAAATCAGCCGGACTCGACGATATTCCCGCGCTTGAGGCGAGCAATGGCGAAATAACAACGTGAAAGCAGAATGGCGTGGCCTAGACGAGACCGGGATTCGTTGGAGTCCTCCTTTCTTCCTTTTTACTCGCCAACCGCGAGCGACGATTATTCCGCGTAAGCGATATGTACCGTCACGAGATGATTCACGTGTTGCATTTTCAGACAACACCTGTTGCTCGCAGAAACTTTCGCGCGCGGAACACACTCTCTTTAAATAACTGCATTGTGCACGGAAGAAAATCAGTATTTCTCGATACTTGAAAATTTTGTCATGCAACTTTACTGAACCACCTTTCTTTCTCTCTCCTGATATTTTGTATCTAGGGACGTTTGTCAATCGACGACAATGATTTTAATATTCGATAATAGAATTTTGTTACTCGATTTATTATAATACAAAGTTACTCGATCTGCGCGCGTAAGGCAACAAAATGGAACCGTTCTGGCGAACGTGCATCGTTATTCACCTTGCGCGTTCTTTCCGAGAGAACCGCTGCTCGGAACGCATGGGTGTTCACCAAGGTTGAATCGAGCCTTGCATCAGCATCAGCGTACGTCACGCTCGTACGATTATCGGTTGGTAATCGAGGAAGAACGTAGGCCGTAGGAATTTCAGAAACACCAATCGCCACGTCGTTGTTGACAGACGCAACGCGCAAACGTGTTTCTGCTTTCTGTGCAAACCCGTGTGTCCGTCGCGTAAACTTAATCGCTTTGCCGAGCGATAAAGCTCCGACTAACGTTTCCCACCTGTAGATACGATGTTACTTTCTGCCATTACTGTAGAACAAAGTAAATACGAAGCTCACGTTAAATGCATTTTAAGATTTTAATAAAATAAGCGTTTTGTTATATGAATTATGCTAATAAATATACTTTGATAATTTGATTAATCTGAAGCTTATTTTTCTTCGAGAGACGAGATTAATCTGAATTTTAACAATTTTTAAATAATTTGGGGGAATATATGAAAGCCTAATCCTAAATTAGCTGGCCCTTCGAAACGAGTTAAAAACTTGTTAAATCGTGTTAAAGGACTGCGCGGGGACCGCGTTAGAACCGTTGATATTGTTTTGCCGAAAACGAGTGTTGAAAGAAACGCTTTCGCTAAACGGCGGTAACAGTTTTATCAGCGATCGGCGGACAACGAATCGAGCGAAATGCCTCGTGAGAAGCGGACTCGTGTAACGCAAAGGTAAAACGAACAAGCGTGTTTTCGCGGAAATGTTCCTCTCCGTCGCCGACACGCGTCGCGATTCATGCGTTAAGATTTCCCGCGTATATAGCGCGGTATATCATTTATACTTTCTACCAGACGTTGAATCGGGAAATCGAAGACGGACTTTCTAGAAAATAGATCGTAACGATCCAAGCCCTGCTCGCCGTGGACGAGCCCCGAATGGGTATAAGATTACCAACTATGAGATCGTCGCCGATGGGGACGAAATCGACGCTCGCCTACCGCATCACGATCTGAAATTGCAATTGAATTTCGAGGACAATGCGCGCGCGAAGTACGCATCCTCGAGGAACGCAAGAAAGCACGGAACTTGCCTGTCGACACGCACGAGTAAACACTCTCTATGGGTTATTCTTATGGGCCATCGTGGACGGACTCTATATAGTGGAATATCCGATTGCCTTCGATGCGATGCGAAATAAAATTGGTCGTCGTTTTCTCCACTCGTAATTTCATCCATCGGCGGTTCTTTAACGTGACTGCGAAACTCGCGCGAGCGTCACGCTACGATTTATTACGCAGACTTCTGTATCGCCAACCCGTTTTAAAACCGTAATTAAAAGTATTTTAATTTTTAGCGCCCTGGATTTTTATAATTAAGTCTTAAGACAGTCTCCCGTAAACTAATAAATTAGAATGTTCCTTCTTAGGGCAACGTTATTCGCTAAAAACTCTTTCACTAAAAACAAGAACGCGGTATTTTTTTTCTAACCATAACAACATTTTTGATATTTATTTTTAACAATAATAACATTTCCGCGAAAGGAAGAGCGCGTATATTATTACACAGACTTTTGTATCGCCAATCCGTTCTAAGTCATTAATTTTCCGCGTCCTGGATTTTTAATAACTATAAGTATTAATAAGATAGTTTCGCATAAACTAATAAACCTTAGAGTAAATCCTGAGAAGGCAAAGTCGCTCGCGGTCTCTTTCACTAAAAACGCGAGAGGGAGAGATTCTGACAGATGTTCTATCGCAGGAACGCGAGTAGTCTTACTTTCTAACGATAATAACATTTTCGCGAAAGGAAGAGCGCGTATACTTCATCTGCATTCGAAAACGCACGTCCGGTAGCTCTCTCCGTTAAAAGGCGGATTATTCGCCGCGACTTTGTTCTTTGCCCTTTCACTTCATCATCGTTAATAATGCGCGTTGCAACTTTCGTTGAATATTAAAACTTGACATTTGACGCTTAACGACGGTTTTTCTTTCTGTTGCAGCAATACGCGAGCAAGCATGCCGAGCAGAGCCACTTGGTGGAGCAAATGAACACGAAGTACTATTATTACACGAGGACTCAGGGTCTATTTAGGATATGCTATCCCAAAGAGAGGCCACCGACAGGTAAGAATTCCCACGCGGAATGGCGTGTAACAAGTGTTTAATAAATAAAACATACGATTTGATAAAAATTGTGAGGAACTCGGCGTATTATCCCGAAAGAGTTGCAATTCAATAATTATTCCGTTATTTTAATTAAATGTTATTTTTGATTTGACGAATATTTTCTTTTCGTCAAGCATACCTCAATTAACTTAATTTTGCATTTTGCCAATCCAATATTCGTGCTTGCAGAAAGTTTTGAGATTGCTTGTGTAATTGTTTGCATTATTTTTATAATATTACGTCAGCGGGTATAGGGTACGTAATTACGTTGAATAATACACACTGCAAAGAATTAGACTGACGTCTTTTATCCGCCTTCGATCAACGTCCGCGATAATACTCGCGATTTAAGATCGACAAATCTTCCCGAGGTCCCGAGTCCCGAGTTCCTCGTTCAACGACACCCCTCACGCGGCCTTTAGGAAACTTTCTACGTTACAATCTCGTAATGTCGCAGGTTATCCGATCCCCACGTAATAGGTTAACAGTTTATAATCAGCCGCATAGACGCGCACAATCTTTGGAGAAAGGTACATTTTCACCCGATAGCCACGACGCTTTCCCATCCCGGGATTCATCACCGCGCAATAGCCGAGTGTTATGCTCTCATATGAAAAGTACTGATGTAGTAGATCGTAAAACGACGCTTTCTTTCTTGTTTATCGAGAACAGATATCTTCAGAAAAAATTAAGATATTAAAGTATATACGCATGCATGTTTTTAAAGTTAAACCGTCTGCCTTGTAGTAAACTTTCAAACAAATTCCTAATCGTAGTGAAATAGATATGTATTATGTACGCGATATTATCGTCAAGCAAATTTATGACGGACAGGAACGCATCGAAAAAGTCAATCGAATCGGAGTCAACTCTGAGCAACGCCTCAGGTACGTCCGCTAGCTGTTTACGCGACGGCAAAAATGTTGTGTGAACGACCGCCGCGGTCATCTTTCCAGACGTCATCTCGAACGAAATGCCTAAGTAATGACGGAAATACGGAATTCTGTCCTCGAGCGGAATCGACTTGCGCGAGGTTTTTGCATCGGTATCGATTGCGAGAAGCCTCGTGTTAAATTACTTAATGGACGATAAGACTTGTTGGAGTTGCGAGGACTTGGTGATCGTTTTTCTTTCGGTGCTGCGCATCGTAAGTGGACCGTTGCGATCGCGGTCGTTGCGAAACGAACAGCCGACGTGCCGATCGATCGGCCGATCGCCCGCGTGTTAATGCCTTGGAAACACAAGCCGCGTCTAAGTATTCGGTCGAAGCAAAGAGGACAAAATTTCCTCGAAAGTTGGCCAGATATAAATGCAAATTTATTTTCGTAGTATTTTTATAAGTCTCCCTTCCTGGAAGCTATTTCTTAAAGTTTGTTATAAGTGAATAAAAGAGTTTAAGTGTTCTGAAGTTATAATAAACATATGAATACACAATATACTGCACGTTAGCGAGTTAGCGAACAATGTAAAAGTTCTTGTTCGAGTGAATATTTTCAATAGAAAAATTAAAAAAATAAAGTCATTAACATATTTGGACGAAATGGTCAAAAAATTTGGACGAAAAAATTTAGAGAAAAATTAAAAAGAGGAAAAATAAAAATTGAAATTAAAATTGACAGCCACCGGTGACCGCCGCCGTCGTGGCGGTGAATGTGTTAAAATCCTGGCATTTAAACCCGGAATAAAAGCACGCAGGTTACGCACAAGGATGTGATCAAATCCTACTCTTCGTGCGTAATTTCGCATCGTGTATAACGCTCTATGGCTTGGAACGCCTTTCCAATTAGAAACTTTCTACGGTAATGACGCATGGTGTATGTCGTATAACGTTCAGCGAGATGTCGCGGTATTTTTAGGGTAATAAATGAAGAAATCCAACAATGTCTGTGTCTTTGCGGACAATTAAACCAATTATAGGAATCAGATACGTAACTGCAATATACGTAATCAAACGCGACGATACATAGTTCAGAATTACCGAGTCAATTAAATCCGTAATCAACGCAATTAACCCGATTATGGCCATAATATCATATAATCACTTTGACGTTCATCGCAGGAAGTATGTGCCGATTAAGTGAATTCCGATACAAATCTAGGTCACGAAGTATAAATTAATCAAATTGGGTTTGTCCAAGGATCCAGTTCCCTCGATGCTGATTAAATTTAATCATAGTTCAATCATTCTTTGCTCTTTTAAATTTTGTCTCTAAACAAAGAAGTACAATTAAACCCCGATTAAAGTCAATCAGCATTGGAAAAATCGATTCTAATCTTAAAGTTGATTATTAATGAGCGACATTTCAGATTTACAAAATCCATTGCGTTAGCTTCTGCAACGCGTGTGCTTGAGAATCTTCTTAAAATAAATTAGAACAATGCCGATATACGATAAACGTCATTTTTTTTTACGTCGTACAGATCGTGAAATCGATTTTTACGTGCCTCGATGATCACGCAACGTTCATTCCACGACGTAATAATTGGAGATTTCCGTGCAAGCGTCAGCGTCGCGAAGCATGCGTGGCATACAATCAAATTGTGCTGTAATCGGTTTAGCTAAGCGATGAAAAATATCATAAATAAACGGTCGCCCGCGTCTGCGCACCGTGTTACGCGAATAACGAAAAGTAGAAGATGTAACGTGACGCAATAAGACCCAATTCTAGATCACGCTCTAATAACAAAAATGTATAACCATGAATGCGAAGCAGCATATTTCGCTCTTCGGCCGCTGAAGTTATGCAAGCTGCGTCTGAAGCAATTTCTATTTTTAGAATCATGCAGGATTGGCATTTTAAATCTCTTATTGTATTATACTGAATCCGATAAGGCACGCGATTTTCCGTGAAATCGAGATTTGAAGTTAGATTTCCGAAAATGTCGCGCAAGTCACACGAATCGATTCTCGAGACGACGCGGAGATCGAGGGATTAAATGGAAGAGAAAAGGAAAAGAATGAAGAAAGAAATATATACGTGCGAGTATACTTTTGCAAGTCCGGTACGCGGTACAGGTGATTCCAGTTCTCCCGGAAGTTTCAGGTTGCGCACATTCTTCGAACGGGAAGGGAAAACGCGCCGCGCGCACTATGAAGTGAAAACGTACCCATGGCTAGCCGTGTGGATGCGGGCCGTACATACATTAGGGCGGTCATATAAAATCCATTGTTGTTCGCACAATAGCGAACCGTCGTAGGGAGGAAACAGTGGTTAACGTTCAGTAAAATTCCGAGGTGAACGCGAGGAAAGTGTGTCGATGTCATGTGTTACGGACGAGATTTCTCGAGATAGGATCGATTTAAAACGAATGAAGCAATTATTGAGATTAAGTCTTCCGACGCGCTTGAATTAGATTTGTATATAAAATAAAGATAAAATATAAGATTGATAGAGATGTTACTATGGCGTGGCGAGCGATATAATGAACTCGATATCACAACAAGCAATTAGAAGAGTCAAGAAATTATAGAAATTAAGAAATATTAAGTGAGAGCGAAAGAGATCATACTCGACGAAAAGAAAAAGATATTAAAAATATTTTCCATAACGCACTTCATTTATAAGCAAAACGTAAAAACCGCGTTAGCTTCTTAGTTGTAAAATATTCATGTAAATTTACTGCAATTTTTAGCGGAGAAGAATTTTGCGCATGCAAAATATTCATGTAAATTTACATGAATATTTTACATGCGCAAAATTCTTCTCCGCTAAAAATTGCGGACAGCAGGTGAAACTGCCGTCCCAAAATCCCGACGGTCAGGATGTGAAGATCGTAACGATCGGTTGCTTTCTTACACAACGTGTAGCGGTACCTCCCTTGGTAAAGTGACAAGTCGCCTTGTCTCCATTACCAGATTAGTTGGACACGAGAGTAATCGCCTTCATTACCCTACATAACGCCGGTGTCCTCAAGAGACCTGAACTAGTCCCAGATCCTAGATTAATAGTCGTAATAGACGACGACTTAGGGTTAACGATCGAGCCAGACGATCCGATTCGGATAAAATACGATCTGACGAAGCGGGATGCTGAAAGCGGCGGAGACAATGCTTTCTCACCGGATTCGCGAACGAAAATACGCTCGCGCCAGGCCGGTACGTGTAGGTACCTGTTCGGCGGGTATCGTGGGACCAGAAAAAAAACAGCGAGGAGAAGGCGAGCGTATCGAGGCCGGATCGGTGAGAATCGATTCTATCGGTCGGTATACCGATCCGCGGCGGTCCGCGAGCGAAGAAATCGTTGGGCGAGAGTTCGTTCTCGTCGCTCGGCCGGAAAACAATCGAAATGATCGGTGTGCATCGCTCGTGTATCGCGGTACCGTTCACCGACCGATGCCGTTCGCCGAGGACACCTTATCGGTTTCGGCATGCCGTTTTCTTCCGGCGAGACCCGCTTCCGGCGGCTTCGATTTATTAGGGACGCGTGATTGACCTTTGCATCGGGAAGAATCCCAAACAAATCCGCGGTCGATCTCGCGTGAAATGTTAAGTGAAAAATTAAAAGAACCGCGCATTTTTCCATATTGAATATCCATGCATCAATATTTTGTATGCATTTATGATATAATTTTGAATTGCTGTAAAGAATCTATCCGCACGCGGTTTTCTTTTAGGAAAAGCAAATATCCCTTTCTTGTTGAAACAAAATTAAAAAAGATCCTATTTTATTTTAGTTTTTTTTTAATATGTGCAATATATATTTCTTTAATCAATTTAAATCGGAAACAAGAAGAAATATCTTATCTCTAACTACTAAACACATTTTAGAAATGTAGTTTAATTACATTCTCAGAAAATATCTTTCCCTCTCGTATCAATTAATTATTTAACCCATTACTTAAAGAGATTATCTATTTTATATCTGATGAACGAATCATATCAAGTGTATTACATTATTAAAAATATATATCTATTCCGCTATATGTTTACGAAACAAATCCAAACTTTAAGATACCCTGTGGGGCATATCTGTTGATACCCACCAGGTAATATTTCGTTACGTGGAATTTCTATGGGATGACTTTGTATCGCGTCACTCTTGTACGGTCTCGTGACCGGTGCGGTGTCGTGTCGGCCAACGCCGAAAATCGAGGTCAGCGCGTACGGTCGCGAGAGTGCACACATGAAAAATTCGAAGAAACCAGTCAACGACCGGTCCGGCGACTTTTATCTACCTCTCGCGGTATCGCGCGACGACGCGCGATGCGCGATGAAAAGCACGAGGGGGGAGCCCTCCTCGCCGACCGTCGGTCGCTCGGCATCACCATACTGTCGCCGACGACTCCTCTTCCGGAATGGCGAGGAGTGTAACGCGTGTACAGTTAGGCGCGAGTCAACGATCTTGGCATGGCGCCTTGTTTCGTTTAGGCGAAACTAGATTCGAAGAGGGTCGAGGAAACGGCCGCCGCGCGGCATCGTCGTCCGTCGCCTGAATCTCAAATATCTCGAACGGTACGTCTCGCCCTGCGGAGGCCGGCCGTGAAGTCCGGGCTCTTTCTCCGGAAAAACTCACTTCCGGCCCTACGGTAACGGAATTTTGCGCCGCGAATTGATAGAGTAATTCTCGCAACCGGTATATTTTATGTGTACGCAGATATGCCTCAAATGGAAGAAAAACTTGTAGTATCCTTATAAAGTTTGAAGACAATTTTCGTTAATGAGAACGTTAAAACGTTAATAGTTTTTGAAAACGCAGGACGTTTCACATTTAAGATAAATAACGGCATGTTAACTGACTGAAGGATCTGAGCGAAATCATAATTAGAAAAAAAGATCGAATCACTCGAAAACGTCATTCTGTTCCGTTTCTTAGCTTCGGCAGTTCTTTTCAACGAAATACTTTCACTCACAATCAGTTACAACTAAAGAATGAAGCAAAAACAGATAATCATCGAAAGAAAAAGACGAGAGAGAAAGAGAGAGAGATAAATCTATAGTTGAAAAAAAAAAAAATATTATTTAGCCTAAAATACGATTGCGAAACTTTCGGAGTCCTGGAGCAAATTTTCTAAGAGATTGCGTCCCGCCTGAATTCTATTATAGCGACAATGATCTGATTGACTGAAGGCTCACGGAGAATCACGTTTTCGAGACAATGTCATTGTCTCGGCTCGTCAAGCGAGACGTGCGTTCGCCAGGGAAAGAGACCGCGAAAGCGCGATTGCTTTACAGTCTTTACACCTTTTTCCCCTACGTGCCAAGGTGGCGTTTCGTGGATTAGGATTCGCCGAGGGAGTACCGTTGCGAAAGAGCCGAAAGACCTCCGTGCGCGATAAATCCCCGCTGCGCGAAGTATATACAGGTAAAAGCATACCGCGCACACTTCGCGCCCGGCGATAGCGTATTCTGCATTCTGGGTCGCGTGCTTCTCGAGGCGCGCGCTCGCCTGACGCGCGCGGCCGGGGCTGTGGGAAGCGCTGATAAATCCCAGTAGTAAATTCCCCGCGAGAACACGGGGATATCTAATGGACGCGTCTTCAAGGATCCTTCGCACCTCCTCCGCGCGCAACCGGAGAACAAACGGACACGACGATCAGCAACTGGTCGCTCATTATTACATTACGTATATATCTACAGGAAATCGTAGATAATGAGATATCCTTATGATATTCTGTATACGCAGAAATCCTCAGAACATCTCCGAAATGTATTTGCGAAAGAAGTTGGCGAAATAAAGACCCTGCGAATTCTCAGGCTAATTAAAAATATATATATCTTGTGTTGGATTGCCCCATTCCAATTAATCTTTTTTTGTTATTTTTATGTGATTTATTGTTAGTAACGGACTGCAATGAGCCACATTTTGCTCTCGACGTAGAGCCTTCTCTTTAAAGTGACATGAATTTCCCAGATAAGTCACAGTAAGGTGTAAATTACAACGTCGTCATTTTCAGCAGGTGTAAAATATTATTTCGCGGTCCAGGACTCCGCATTTATATCTCGCTTAGAAAATGCAGTGCACCTCGATTCTCGATGTCGTAAGATCGGCCGTTGGATGAACATTGACTCCGCGTATCTTGCGGCCGGTGGAATGAGAACGTCGGTGACGATTAGCCAATTAAGCGTAGAATATGCGCTTCTTGGTAAAACGTTTCTTACTTCTCATAATTGGTAAAGGCAATTCGCGAATCCACAATCTCTCGAGAAGGATTATTTATTAAAGAGATATTAATCATCAATTTCACGCGAGCAATACAAATAAAGAGCACAAGTTTTCTTGCTCGGATTATAGAAGAATAAAAAAAGTTTCAAGTAAAGTTAATCAAAAATAGCTTATACAATTCACTCTGTAACGTGCACTTGTATCACATTCTTATATTCTATATCATGATTTGTTTTTTGTTTTGATTGCAGTTGAAACTTATTTGAGCCCCGTGGAGACGCATTGCATGAATATCGATTATTTCATTCCCGATGAAGAAAATCAAACGAGGGGCTTCTCCGACGACGCAATGGCACGATTACGTAAGTATAGCGCGATCGAACAAATTTCGTCTTTCGTCGCGTTGAATCAGGATGAAAAATCAATATTCGTCACACGTTCACACTTTCACTAGAAAAAAATTTACATATGTTCGATCATTTTTGTAAAATTGAATACACGTTAAATTTATGTCCTTTTTTCCTTCCATTATTAATTTTTCCGATATCGTTAATGCAACGTGATCAAATAATTCTATTACAAATTCTGTTTGGAATAAAATAGATTCATAAATAAAGACTTGGTTTGTTAAAAGTTTGTAAACTACTTGACGTATATCACAATTTAAAAAATTCTTAAACTCACTTTATAATACAAAAGAAATTAAAATATATTCCCGTGTAGTATATATTTAATACGGAATGTCTTAATGTGGAAAATAATTCGTATATTTATACCATGTCGTTTATGTTACGTCGAAAGGCGACATCGCAAGAGTTAATCGTACGTGAGAGACAGTACGATTATATCTCTTATAAATATGAATGATTATAGACGCTTCAGAATTCGGTCACGTTGCTATCCGATGCGACGAGAATGGAAAGTTCGCTGACGACTGACGTGGCAGCGAACGCGTTTATAACAGCAAACGATTTGGGAAAAAAATATATGTATATAGTTTCACAAAAATATTCATAATAAATTTCTCGTCAATGTGGAAACAGAAGATGCAGGTTTTCTTATTGTAATGCGTGTGCGAAGTGATATAATAGGTCTGAATCATTGTTGCAGATATGGGGAGATCCGTGATAGCTCTGTTCATGGTCGGCTTTCTCGCGATATTTTCGGCATTCTGGACGGGAGTAGTGGGTTGCTGGAGAAGATCACCAGGAAATATCACGGCCACGGCAATTCTGATGTTATTCGCCTGTCAGTACACTTCTTTTGATTCTTTTTTTCCAAAAATATCCGACATTCTCTTTCGTTTTGCTCTTCGCGAATTAGACTATTGCAAAAGTTTGTCTATGAAGAAAGTAAAGCTTTTTTGTTGGAGACGAATAGACGATATTACGAATAAAAATACGCGGAGAAAGTTTCTAGACGGCGACCGTGGGAAGATTGAATCATAAATTCGTGAATATTCATAAAAGTTCTTTATTGTAATATTACTGGACCTATACCTGTTTATGTCGTGCAGGCCTGCTAAGTGCTGGCGGTATGGGCCTGTGGCACGGCGTCGAGTATTATGAAAAAGAGAAAATCGTCGGGGAAGAATATTATCAGCAATGGAGCAACGTAAGTACTCAATTTTACTTTGTGAAACTCTGTTAACAAGAATGTAATCAAAATGCTCTATAAAACGTTAAAACGTTGTCGTTGACTGTTACACCAATCGTATCAGAAGACTAGGAATTTATACGGTATGTTAATTGGTTATTTAAATTGCCTCAACTTGATTTTACATCGTTTCCTTGAGTCGTCTGAATTATTTGCACGATTTTCTAAATGTCAACCGCAACCGATCAACGTTTGGCGCACACGCCAATTTTGCTATGCCAAGATAAGCGAAAAAGGTGATTTCTTAAATATTAAATAAATTTAATATTAAACAGTTTCCAAAAGAGTACGCTTGATTTGACAAAATCACGTACTGTCGGATACATTTTCTCGTATATAGAACCAAAAATTTCCAAATAACATAATTGCAGTCAATATGCTAATTGATTTTACAGACTAATAACCGCAGAATGATAAACGTAATGGACTTATAGACAAATTTCGCTTATTTTGCATCACGAAGAGATTCTTCCAGGCACCTGATCGCATCGAGTACTTCCACGTGGCCGAGGTGGCAGGCGTAATCATACACATCGGATTTTGACCGAATTTTACCCGCAGGTTTTAAGGGACAACGCGGCTCAGTGGTACGACTGGTCGTTTTACCTCGCCTGGCTGGGGGTGGCTACGTGTCTGGGCACAATGACGCTATTCCTGATCGCGGCATCCTGCCTGAGAAGGGAGCGTGCCCGCGAGCAGGCCCAGAACGTTCAGTACATCATGCCAGGTGACACGACAACCATGAAACGGCCGAACTAACTCGCCCCGTATCTCTTCTTTTTGTTTGTTATATACGCCCGGCGCGGCGCGGCACGGCACGGCACGGCACGGCACGGCACGCGGGGGAAAAACTGTCTAGGTCCTGAAGGACAACTCGCTAATCTCGTACGACTGGTCGTACGTGGTCGCTTGGGTCGGCGTCGGTTGGTCGTTGGTCAGCGCGATCTTGTTTAGCGCCGCGGCGATTTGCTTGAGGGGCGAGAGAATGCGCGAGGAGGCGATGAACATGCAGTACCTCATGCCTGGTACATATTTAACACTATTGCTTTTGCCGACTACGCGCGGAATATTCGACTGGCGTACTATCTGGCGATTACTTCAATTCCTGATCGCTATGCAACGCGCTACGTCTTTTGACGACGTCCGAACATTCTGACAGTCCGATGTCGATTCTCCATTCATCACATCCTGGTTAAATCATTAATATCGTTGATCTCTGTACATTATATTAATACGATTTGATCATTAAATTGTGTAATGTACTTGTTTATATAAATATGACTTAAGCCTCAAATCGATAATTTTAGCCTTAGTTTCAAACAGCGGTTGATATCAACGATACCGTTTAAAGCACTCGAAAAAACATCGAGACTGTCCCTGATCGGACAATTTTATGGTTGTAATTAAAGTTGCAATAGATATCGTAATCTTCCTCGGAAGAAATCGCCCGGGATACGAAATCGCCACGTCGAATTCCGCGTGCACCAGGTGGTTCTACTAACTTTAGTTTACGATCATCGGGCTTGATCGCAAGGAACACGTTCCTTGATACGAGGATAACGATCTCGTCATTATACTAACTGGATTCAATCGAAGAAGAAGAAGAAGCGTCAACACGGAAGCAGGCGATGTCGTTAAACGGTTTTTCTAGTCTTATTTACTTTTTTGTAAGTATCTAATAGCTGTACGGGGTTTACCACAAGTGCTTCCGTATTGGCGCATAACGATTATTGTTAGCGCGATCAGGCGTATTATTTTATGGATACTGTCATCTATACGAAGGAACAATATTGGATGAGAAATAATACCCATTATTTCAGGATTTAGCTTATCCGATATTCAGATTATATATATTAGTAAGCGGTTGTAATATATACCCAAGGTTGAAGAGAGTTTCGTGAACTAATTGAATGATGATACATAAAAACAAGATTAATCTAATTGCTTAATCATAACTCATATCCACAAACCAAGAGACTCGACCCCAATAACGCCTTGTATATAAAAAGATCTCGATCCCTCTCTCTTTCTCTCTTTCTCTCTCTCTCTCCACGTATCGTTTGAGTAATGTAATGTTAATCCTACTGGCGAGAGAGTCCGGTGATGTTTCGAAAACATTAGTTTTCGCTGCGAATTCGCGAGCGCGAAAAACGAGGCCGCGCGCGAAACTAGTTCCGATGAATATTAACTTGAAATCGCAGCGAATTGCACGGCGAGATTCTAGATTTGGTTTTTACGCAATTTTCCCACAGCTTTAATATGATCGGAGGAGCAAAGCCGCGCGGAAAATTACTGGTCTGCCGAGTTAAAAATTTGCATCTATATGCTCTCGATACCTTAATACCGCCAAGGCCGCATTTTTATTGAAAATAGATCGGAAACGCGTACGCGTATCAATGAAAAACGAATGCCACTGATTGTCGGGTGCAACGATTGTGTTCCATTAGCGATATAGGTGATTATTGAGGATAAAAAGCGAGATCGAGATCGATTCCGAGCGACGGATTTAGCCAGGTCGATTATCAAATTCCACTGATAATCGCGTGGAAGGTAACGGCCAATATTCATTCTCGCGAGACTTTTACTTGTTCGCCTCACGCTCTGTTTCCACCGCGGATCGGAGCACTGTCACGCTCTAATCCTGAAGGAAACTTTCTAGTTCTCCTCCGGATGATCGACCGGGTTGCAGAATTGCACACCGTCGTAAAAATGCATTTCGAAATTTTTAGGAAGAAAACGCAACGCCGAATGATTAACATTTTCAGCGATTTACTTTTTCTCCCGTTACACATGCACATTGTAAAAATTCCTTCCAATATAAGAATGTTTCTCTATCATTTACATTTGAAGAGATCAATCTCATGAGAAGTTTTGTTTTACAAAATTACACATTTGTGGTAGCAGAAATATTGATTATACTTAAAATGTATAAAAGATTTCAAAGTTTTTCTCGCGTGCTTTTTCCATGAACTTTATTTAAAAAATAAATATACGCGGAAATGTGAATTTAATCGAGATCAAAATTTCTTTCTTTTTTCAAACAACTTCTTATCGCTTTCCTTATGCAAAAATCTTATTTACAATCTTTGCATAATGCGATCCTCGGTCATCGTCCGATGTTACAAGTAACTTTAGAAAATTGGTCACGCGGAAATAGACGTTCGTGTGAGATAATTGTTGTTTTCTTCGAGCAAAAGAACGGAAAAACCAGTGATATCCAGAAGTAGACGCTCGAAAGCGACATACTTGCCTAATTTTCCGTTCCGTACACCCACCGACCTCTAGCCGCAAAGGAATTTCCGTGTTTGCGCATTCAGCCCCATACACTGACTTATCGATGCTGGGATTCAATTTATACGCAGGACGGAGAGAACAAATGTGTCGCGTCTCGCAATGCCGGATGCAAAGTCTTTCTTGAAATCGGCTCAGAAATTTGTGGAACAGTAAATGCATTTCTCGGCGGATTAATTATTCGAAGATGTGGCAAGGGTGATTGAAAGAGAGATGAAAGAGAAAATATAAAATAAGAAAATAATTATTTCCTCGATAAAATCAAGGTCGACATTGTCCTTTCAACTTTATATCATGAATAAATATATATTTTTTAATATTAAAGCGTATACTCTCTAACACGTTGAATGCCGTATCGATTATCGGCGCTACCAAACTCAAAAACTGCATCAAACTTGTAAAAAATAACATTTGTAATTCTGTAAATATAATTAATATAATAGTCTAAAATAATAAATGTACTACATAATAATTTTGCATAATTTAATTATATTATATAATATAGTGAGATATGGATCAATAGTGAAAATTTCATTCCGGCGTTACCGGAGAGACAATTAGCGAATTAGATCCAGCAATTCAACGTGTTAAACATATATTGTTAACGATTACATATGACGTAGCATATACCTTGGTAAACACACATTTTGGCCTGTGAAGTAAAGGAGTAAATTTAAACCATCGCTTTATCTAGTGTCATTTATAAAGTAGTGAACATTTGTTCCTATTTCATCCTTTGACTTTCATGAAACTAACCGTAGCAGAATAGATCGTATCATCTCGTTTAAGAATTACGTTAACTACCTCATTTATCTAAGAGAACCGTACCTTTTTCCTTTATCACAGAAGCAAAGTCAGGTCGAGTCTAATCTCCCTTTTCGTTTTTTTTCCAGTGTACCCGCAGAAGCAGCAGTACGCGTACGCCGGATATCCGGCACCGGCGGCGGCGTATCCGGGACCGTATTATCACGGTTCCCAGTACGGGCCCTACAACTACTGAAGAAACTCGGCCGATCGGCATCGATGGAAAGAAAGTGTCCCGGGCGCGCCAGTGCTCGTCGCTAGCAACGAAAATTCGCGTTTCACTTAGCAGAACGAGGACCAAAAGTAACTCAACACACGGAATTCGAGAGACTCGCCGAGGTCGATCCGTCGATCGCGCTTCGCGACGCAGAGGATCTGTCGATCCGAAGCGATCGCGCGTACCGTCGACCTCAAACGTAAATTTATATTTACCCGCAATTCAAAATCCGTGGCTCCGGATATTACGCGAGATTATGATCACGCCATGAGATTCTTCAAAATACAAAAGCTCTTTATTTCTTCCCGCGATAGACCGATCGTTTGACTCCATCCGACCGGAAGCAAGAACCCGGGCAGCGCAAAAGTCCGAAAGACCCTGAGGTCCAAAAGAAGCCCGAGAAATGAGAGGGAATGTTTCTTTGGACTCTCTTACCGCGTCTTTCGGACGTTTGCGTTGCCCGGGAAGGCCGACTTGCGCGAGACGGTTGCTCAAAATACGCGTACTTTACATTTTAGGAGCGAGATTACTTAGTATTTTTCCAGTTCGATAAGTAAGATATCGATCGTCTCTCACGCATCTTTCCCGCGCGTGTTGCTCGCGAGGGCGATGAATTCGCCGCGCTCGCGAGTGCGACACGCGTTTCCATCGGGCTCCGATGATCGGTTTCACCGAGCTTTCTCGAGTCCCCATTAACGTGCGTTACATCGACGGCTCATTCATCACGGTAACGGCAAAAAAAGAGAGGGACCCCGACGGAAAACGCAGTCGGGCGATCACCGCCGCGGATTTAACGGACGTTACCGGACGTTACTCCGTCTCGATGAAACTCGGTAAAAACAGTCGTGAGCAAGTTGTAACTGATTCGATCGACCACGTCGATTGAATTTAGATCCGCGAAGCTTGGCTCGCGTTGACGCGCCGCGCGTTTACTATTATTTATTTAACGCGAACGAAGCTCAAGTTTCTCTCACCCGCGAGGAGGGAGAAATGTCGTCGAGTCGCGCGAGCGAAGCGCAAAAAGGACACGAATACGAAAACATCACGTTCATGAACGCTCTCGCCTTCCTTGGTAGTACCAAATATTAAATAAATATCCCGACTATATACGTATATATAAAAGCAAGTATCGCGATTTCGCAAGAATACGCCGCGAACCTGGTTTTAACACCTTCGAGCCTAGCGGAACGATAGATTTCAGTTGGACGCATCGAGCAATTAAAAGATATAAAAGTGATTTGAAGGGAAATCATAATTATTTTTTGTTCCTTCGCGTCACTTTATATTAATTGTATTTCCAATGAAAATCTATCCAACCATTGATGTGCGTGTACGATGCAATATTTGATTAAATAAATTAAAAATGTGGTTTGAAAAGGTCAAAGCTACTTTCTCGGGCGTATACGATCTACGTAAACGTTTATATAATATATGGTGCTGCTAGGATCGTTACGCGATAACGATTCGCGAAGTTCGTCTAACACATAGCTCTTTTGATATAATGTTGATTTTTGTATGGTTCATTACATCGATATCTCTATGTAAGACGTTTTAGAGGAAGTAAAGAAAAATATTTCAATTATTTTAGATATATTTTTCAGCAAATGAACTCAATTGGACTTGCTCTCTTTTCCTTTCTTTCTGCATTTCATTTTTATTTTTACATGCAGATAGATTGTTCCACATACACGCACACAGAAACAAACACACACGTACACACACATCTCAACTTTCTCTTTTAATTTATCTCTCGTAGTTTATTTTTTATTTGCTCTTTATAAGCGAGCAAACAGCAATATTTTGTAAAAGGATATAAAAACTATGATTATTATGAAAGTATGAAGAATTTTAAATGTATCTAAATTAAATATAGTTATGTAATCGCGTGATGAAGTTAAGTAAAATTTAGGAATGAACGCAAGTATAAGAAGACTAAAATAAAAAGTAAAATTAGCGAAAATTTATAAGATCTTATATAATAAAATAAATAACAGAATATATATATATATATATATATCAAATATAGTTGGCATTTGTATCTGACATTTCTCCATTGTCCTCAATCTTTCAATTTTCGCAATACTGCGGGAATTATACCGTAAAATGTAGCTATATATATTATAATCCAGGTATAATTATATACTTTGTAAGAGGGAAGGAGTTTACGTACGGATTCTTTAATTAATTGCGTGTTGTAAGGTAATAATTGCTAAGGCTTTAAAATCAGGAAACAGTTTCGCAAAATACCATGCATAATATAACTTAATTTTCAGAACATACCAGATCGTTAAATCCGAAATTACCGCGAAAAGTGGTTAACCACGATTTAGACACCGTTATAACTGTATCAGACTACCTACATATCGGATAATTAAGTGCGTTGCTGTTTTACAGTGGCGATTGTTACTTGACCAACAGTCGGTTTCAACCTTATTGATTGAATTACAATAAAAAGTTGAAATTTACAGTCACAATGCTATTGTAATAAGAATCACGTAATTTGACCTACAAGCTCTTTCTCTCTTTCATTGCATAGGGCATAGGGTAACAGCCCAATTAAAAATTGATCTCAAATGCATGAATTGAAAATAAATTGAGTGTGTATATAAAAATTAAAATTTGTAGTCATGGAAGGAAATATGAAAATTAAGCATTCGAGAGTGATAAAAAATTGTTAGTAAAATTAAGCTTTTTCAAAATTGTCATTTAACTTTATCTAACTTTATTTTTACCGTTATCGAATTTATCAGCTATGTTTGGATCGTGAACGACCTAAATTAACTTCTGTATTTCATATATTGAGATTCATGAAGTGAAAGAAATGACGTGTGCCATTAATTTCGTTTCGCATTTTTTCTACATATATTGTGCTTCCTTGCTAATTGTTTTCACGGTATAGTCTTTTCTTCAGCCAGCCTCTATATACGTTATCTGATGACGGCTTAATTACTCTGTCGCAATATATTTTATTTAATTATCTATATCCAAGCCCCATCGTTTATTGCCACCAGCATTTATTACATCCATTACTGCAATCGTTACTCCAGATAATATCTTAATATGTCGCTCGCACGCAACAGATTATGTTGTTTTATATATAAATATTTTATACATAAATATAAAATTTCTTGCACTACCCGTATGTTTTCTCTCAGTTGCCGTAAGATCGTGTAATTAGAAAATACGTACGAAATTTACGCTAGCAAATTTTGTAAAACTTAAACATTATATCCATCTCTTTCTTAGATTCTTACATAAAGGAGAGGCAAACAAGTTTTTTACGAGCTGGTTGTTACATTAAGTTCAAATTATTACGAGTGCAAAGTTAAAGTTTCAATGTTTAGCTTTTATTATCAGCTAAATTGAATTAAAATTGAGGGGGATTATAGATCATTGTCATAGATCGAGAAATATACTACCATGTTATTTGCACGTGTTTGCAAAGTACACGACACAGGCAGGCAGAAATAAATCTTTGATATCGTTAGCACACGGCAGGATTATAAGCGGTCTCATTCTCGGACGTATGAAAGATCGAAGGCATTACTCCGGTTCTTAATGATGACGGCATAAGATCGACGCCATTACTCCGTTTCTTGATGATGACGACACATTCTGGAGAGACCAAGGGAGCGACTATTATGGACATAGTCCGTTCGGATCTTTTCTAGAAGTGCATTCAAATATGGTAGACATCAGGATACAGGTAACTCTTAGATTTCTGAATAAGAATCATTGATCCTCATAAACAGTATCGGTTACGATCATTGATTCCAGAAATCTCGAGAGATCTACCGTTCAGTAAAGGACATAAGAAAGGCTTCAGCACTCAGCGGAGCATTTTATTGACGGGAACGATAATCGTTCATCTCACTTGAGTACTCAAGTTATTTGTTTTCGGGTTGCAACCATTTTTAAACTATTCATTCATGCTATTACATTTTGGCCAAGTAAAGTAAATTACGCAAGCTTACGATACGTTTAATTCTATTTTTTGTGATAGTTAATTTCACATATTTCTCGATACATATTTGCGAAGAGATTCATTTGTTTAATCAATACGAATTATAATGCGTCAAATATTTAAGATAAGATGTATATTGCTTCAATTGTTCTGAACAAGATTCGTCAAAGAATTCAACGCTCATTTACTCAGAAATTATAATCAAAGGTGTAACACACAATACATCGATTTATGTGAAATACTTTAAAACCTTCGTTGCGTTTCCACGAATTGATGTTGAATTAATGCGTTTAATAAAGATTATTATTCAACGCATTATTCACTTATAAATTATATGTGCATGATTATTTTGGTTAATTATTAATTATGATATCATTTTTTGTCATGTCTAATAGTCTTTTCAGTGATTAAACAGTTTAAAGATACATTCAAAGCTATCATATCATATTAATTCTTTTTTTATAATTACCTTGTAATATATTATTATTTTACGTTTCAAGTTTCAAACTGAGATCATACATATTCAACTAATGTTTATATTCCTTTCATTGAACGGACTATTATGTGAATTATATATTATTTCTTGATTCAAGTGATTATTGAATTTTGCCATAATGGTTTATGAATATGATTTAAATTATCCTGCTATATTCTCTAAATATAATTTATTTTGTCAACAATTAAAACTCAGTGTTTCCTTCACCGCCATAGCCCACGATCTATACGGGTTGTGTACACTTTCAAAGTATTTGATACATAACAAAATATTTTTGATGGACATATAAAGCTGACATAGACGAATCGCTTCTGTCTTTTTTTTTTTTTTAATTGCGACAAATTGACTTATCTGCTTCTCCGCCTCGTGAAAAACAGGAAGTCCTAAAATATTAAAAGATATAAGTCAACATATTGTATACTAAAAATTAAACTGTATTCATACTAATATTTATTAGAAATGTTTCTTCGCAATTTTCTCAATTAAACGTCTTAATTTAAAACCAATCAAAATTAATTGACTACGCTGATATTAATATCAGAAATAAAATATTTCCTTTTCGCAGCAATATTTTTTTTCATTTTTTCTTTTTCGTATCTCTTTTCTTAAATAAACGATTGTTTATGGTATTTTTACGATACTCACTATTAGAATAGTTGCTCCCAGCGGTATGGCCTTTATTGTCACGTCGAGATCGTGCGGAAAGTTTTAATGCTATATTTATCCGAAACGTGGAACTGGTTGAACAGTTGAGAAAAGCCTCTCCCATGCTTTTGAATCATGCCGATGTCATACTTTTTATCCAGAAATTTGACCTGCGGATTTGATCATTGACGAACAATTCGGAAAATCCTAACGTTGTTTAGCAACATACGCCAAGTTTGTAACATTATATTTTTTATTACCATTTATTTTCAGTTCTGTATTTTACTTTCAAAAATCTTCCGAAAACTCGAAATTAATATTAAGAAAAACAATTCAAGGTAATTGTTTAGATTAAGGGCGACCTCACCGATTTCAATGACCTTGACATATGTTGTCAAGGTCACCCTCCTGAGTGACCTTCGGAAGGTTTTAGCCGTCGCTCGTTATTTGTTAAAAAGTTATTAACAAAAAAAGTTTGGAAAATATAGCAGTTATTTTAAGTATTGAGAGGCAAAAACGACCAATATATTACGTCTTTTTTTTTTTTAAGTAGAAAATATCTCGTTTTGCGTGAAAGTTGCTGCTTTACCAAAACACAACATTTAAAGCAGTAAATTGTTGATAAATTGGCAGTCTTTTTGTTAAAGCGTAACCAATTAGAAGAGCGTTTCGTATTTTCGGTTACGCATATTCGCGCTTCTGATTGGTTACGCGATACGCGTTACGCGGAAAATATAAGTCCATATGTGACCGCACCCTGAATACCGGCGGCCCCACTCAACTCTGCTTATTCCATGGAGTCATTCATGGTGGAACTATAAGATGAAGCAATCCGATGGATGCGCAGTCGTTCAAAAGTAGAGGGGAGCAATCAACCAATCAGAAGTGCTTTAAACATAAAATCCACAAATCCAGTACGGTCACATTTGAATTCAATATGTGAGGGACAGTTCTGATTGGTGCTCTGCCTCCCACTCTGTCCCCATAATACCACATGCGCATTGCTTCACTTTTATATTTCTGTGCTTCCACCATGGGTTCATTGAGTCATTCTTTTGCATGCAGTCGCCACGTGCGCAGTTTGAACTCAGAGTTCTTATAATCTCAGTGTTTGAGAACTAAAATCAGTTAAATCATTGTGTTAGATTTATTCTGCATATACCACGTTCATTCACAATTTACACAAGACGCTTATTGGCTCTATTCAGTAAAAAAAAGGCTAATTATAGTGGATCCACGCAGGAAACCAGGTGTCATAAATTAAGAAGAAGAAGAACCACGTGCCTTCGCTCTTTTCAGTGTGCCTTTATTCATCGGCATTTTACTTTTTTACCAGGTAAAGTAAAAGGAGTAAAATTTTAAATTATTATATTTGTAAATGTAACAAAAAATATGTAAGAAGCATTCAGTATTCAAACTTTCCGCTAATTTTTCAGAAAATTTAATTTTTTTATTGATATATCTGGAAACTTTATTTCTACAATTTTAAATTCAGCAGTGGAATTCGAAGTAATATTGGAATTTAAAGTTAATATTTTAAAACTAATTATTTTATTGTTGCATTCTTCATTCTATACAACTACTTGATGACGCCTAACAATGTTTATAATTTTTCTAATTAATATTACATATTACAGCTTTTTTCATGTTTAAATATGATTGCTATAGCTTTATTAAATTTCTCTCATTTTATCATCAACATTTGTCCATTTCATCTACTCAATTGTATTCTTAACAAAGTCAATGTCGTTTTTTATGAAGCCTTTCACAATTCGATTCTATGGAGTGTCTGAATAATGCCAAACTACAAATTAACCCTCTGTATTCATACGTGGGTCTACGGCGTTCGAGCCAAAATAATATCTGCTTCCCAGACAGCGTGTAACTGTAAAATTAGCAGCCTACCTGGCTGGCTCTCTTCTCTGAAAAAAAAGTAGGTGGGAGAAAGGCTTTTAAGGGCTCAGAGCCGTTACGAAAAATTAATATATCGATATATTATATCGTTGCCGAGCAAGTTAGATCTCGCACGAACCCGCCATATGTATGCACTAAACTTTTTAATTTTCTTTTATGACTAACAATTTTGCTCATTGTTTATGGTAAATGTTGTTTGGTCAAAACAATGTTTCCTTAAAAGATTTTGACGAATAGTTGTTTCTCTGTTTAGTTATTACAAAAAAAAATGAAGTTTCGGATCGGCAGATAGAAAATAATTTACTTACGCCAACCAAAATTGTGTTTCAAGTCTGACGATTTGTCGGCGCGCAGTCACTATGGTTGGAATAATATTGTTTAATTTAATACAGGTTATTGCGATAAATATTACCATGCACATACCTCAGTGGTCGAATTGGTATACGACACCCATCGCGGAATGAGGGAGATTCCAGGTTCGAACCCTGGCTGAGGTAATGTTTTTCGCAATAAATTTAATTATTTAAATGAGATGCTTATATATAAGTATCAAAATTACATCAATTTATATTGGTTAAAAGAGCGTCTTGACGATAATCGAGCCAAATCGTGGTCATATTGTCTTGGCGATTATATAATGGCCAGTAAAGTCGATTAATATTTCCATTGTTGAAAAAAATTAAATCTGCCTTGCTGATAAACAATAAGTATGAAAATTGATAGAAATTAGTTATTCTGATTAATTTTTTTATTTTGTTTCAAGATAAATTTTCGGTAATTCTCTTCATTCACTGTGAAATCTTATGTTCGATTTATTGTTAGATCGCTGTATCAAACAATGAGGTAAAAGATATATTATTATAGCGAGGATTTATCATGGACCAGCTCAGCGAAGAACAGGCGGTTGTAGTTGGCGGTACCGGTGGAACCGTACAAGTTGTTCAGATGAGCCAGGGTAGACAAACTATGATGCTTCCACAGGCGATACAAGTAGCGGCGCCTAATACACAGATCCAAGTTGTTCCAGTTTCTAGTCTAACTAACACTGGTCAACAGATAGTTATTCAGCAACCACAGACCGTACAAATCATTCCAACTCTCAATGGACAAACTTACATCTACCACCAACCTGTGCAGTTGGCTAATCTGACTAACACTGGTCAACAGATGGTTATTCAGCAACCACAGACCCCACAAATCATTTCAACTCTCGATGGACAAACTTACATCTACCACCAACTTGTACAGTTGGAAGGCCAAGTACAACAACCGCAACTAACTGGTAAGTGTTGTGAGGTATTTATATGTATCTGTTTCGTGTATCTTTATCTAATTTTGTTTCTCTTGTCTTTTATTTACAGTGATAAATCTTAATGGTAATCTCATGCAAATTGCTGGTACAACGTCACAAACTGCAACTACTGCAG